GATCACTCACTCCATCTGCCTCAACACACACACACTCCAGGACAGGTAAACACACACATGAAAACACACACAGAAACACGAACACAATTTGTAAGCGGACTCAGTTCATGCTTTGTCTTCCAGGGGACGGCAACCTGACACACAGTGCTGGTGTGACACCTGTCAGACTCACTTCAGCGGTGATGTCATCATCCATCGGCGGACGAAACAACACAAGGTGGGAGAAAACACTGTTTTCTAATATAAATAATAATTTCAATGCACATAATCAATGCATTTTACCTGCCTGATTACATACAAGACTATGGCCTCAGGGAGTCCTGGTTTTTATTGGACAGAGGATTTATCAGGTAACTCTGCTGCTCAATGGTTTGTGGTTAAGTCACTAAAGAAGCAAACTGCAAATTTCCTGCCGGATAAAACTTTTTCCTAGATAAAATGCTACTTTGATTGCACTGTAGTAAACTCTTCTAGTGAAGGGCACGACTGTTATCTTCCACCACAAATAGAGTAACAAACGTAAACAAATGAATTAGCAGGTTTATGAACGACTCTACTCTCTCTCTCCAGATGTGTAAGCAGCTGTGTCGTCCCTTCTGTCCCGTTTGTAAACGTCACTTCCGGACTCCCAGGAAGTTTGTGGAGCACATGAAGTCTGCGGAACACAAACAGCAGGTGAGAAGGGGGCACCGCTCAAATAATTCATATTTCCAGCTATGCAAGAAAGACTGACTGAACGGTGTATGACCTTGTGTACTAATTCTAATATGCAATATTCAGGCATTTATGCTTATATTTTCATGTATGCTATTTACAGACCTAGTTTTCAGCATTAACTGTGTTACATTTTGTAGTGTAATTTACTTCTTTTACACATTTATCTTCTGTATGTTCCCCCACATAATTGTAATTTTAATTTTGCAAACAATTTGGTTCTTTGTCTTGTTCCAGGTGCAGCTAGAGGAAGCTCATGAGGAGGAGCTGATCATAGTGGATGCTGTTGGCTGCTTTAAGGGAGAAGAAGAAGAGGAGGAAGAAGAAGAAGAAGAAGAAGAAGAAGAAGAAGAAATTGAAGCAGCTGATGTAGAGGATGTCGAGGACGACGTAGGAAAGGAAGAAGCAAAGGAGGAAGCGTCCGAGGTAAATGCCCCTTACCTACTGCGTGATAATGTTCAGTGTTTGATTCTACAACCAGCTACCGATGAAGCTACAACCAGCACAAAACAAACAAACTGTGAGTTCTTCACATCCCTGCATGTAGTTGTCCATTTCTACTGTTCATTCATGTGTTTAGGCACAGTAACGTCTATTTAAACAGTGAATTGTCTCTAAACAAACAAGTAACTTTAATATCTGTATTGCTGAGCCCTGAGTTGTACAGAGTCCAATGCATTGAACAGGTTCCTGAACTCATCATTCTTCTTTCAAGAAATATTCTCTATTAAATTGTGAGCTGCCCAAGCCTTGTTTAGATTAGGTTAGAACAGCTGCATCATACTAAAAGGAAACATATAATCATTCGGAAAGTGTTAAGAAAACATTTTTGAAGGATCTCACTTTGTGTTTTTGTGTGTGTGTGTGTAACAGGTAGTGGACACACAGGAACCAGACAGGGTGGAATATGATCCCCACACCACATATGGTAAGTTTCTGTGGTTATTGCAGTAACTTTTAATGCTGCATGTATATGACGGCTCTTTGCTGAACTGTGGACGTTTGTTTCCCTGGTCTGAGTCACCCAGAGCCAGACTTTAATCAACACTTTATTTAAGCCTTGTACCAGTGAACACGAAAGGTCAATCAATACACAAAGTCATAACAAATATTCTCTCAAGACACAGGTGTGTCTGTTCTGTATACAACATGAAGATAATCTCAGTGACGTCACCCATTGGTTTCTGAAGAGGCTTTGGACGCCGTCCTCGTAATTGAAATCCTGACTCTGCCTAACTTTCTTGTATCAGACAAAGAGGTGCAGTTGAGGCTTAAGCCTTCTGGCAGCTACACTCTGTCAGCCAAATCATACACGCCCATAATACCTTAAATGTATGAAAATCTCGTATCCTTGATCCTTGGAGTTAGCTTCAAGTGGACACTCAAGGAAATTTGCTCTGAGCATTGGCTTCATTTTTTAACACCAGATGTTGCTGCTTGAGTATGACTTCAATGATAATGCTGAACCAAGAAAAACAACAACGAATAAGGACAGTCACTCATTAGGGTTAGTGTAAAGCTGAAGCAGTCACAACATTGATCGTCCTGTTGATCGTTTGGAAGGGAACTTCAAGAGGCAAGCCCTGGCATTTAATGTATAAAGTTAATATATATTCTCTTTTTTCATTTCTGTTTTATTTAAAAATGATGACGCTTAGAGTATTGCTGACAACTACCTTTCTGTTTTATAGCCTATTTCATGAGTAATTGTAATGCACCTTTATACACAGACAAATTCCCTGTATGTGAAAACCTAGTGGGCATTAAACCTGATTCTGAAATTAAAAAGATAAAAATGTGTATCTTTGTGTCTCTTCAGGAAGTAGTTTTGTGGTTCCTGTTTCTGGCTTCCTTTGTCGGCTCTGTAACAAGTTCTTCTACAGAGAGACGACAGCGCGACACACACACTGCAGGACGCACACACACTACCTCAACCTGCAGGTAACACATCCTCGTACACACAAACACTAAACCGTTACTAACCATCACAACTAATGGAGCTGGAGTTAGTTAGCTTGGACTAATGCACTCAAGGCGCTTCACTGCTGAGGAGTCCCTCAGGGGATGTTACTTTTTAAAAGTTGATAGCTTTCCAGATGTACCAGATGTGCCTTTAAATTGATTTGATCATTAAATCAAAGCAGGTTACATACCTAACTGAGGTAACTATAATTAGCATGCTATTACCTGAGCTTTTTGTAGTGAGGTTTAAAAGGGTTCCATGGAGAACCATTGAAAAATCTGACCTAAAAAAACATTATGCTTATTATTTTGTTAGATGAGTAAATCGGGACAGTCAGCTTCACATACTCTCCTGTCATTATAAACTCTAAAGCCCTTTTCAGAGTGTGATTATGCAACAGCCCCATAAAGAGGCTCCGCAGTCATTATGTCGCTCTACGTTCATATTGATTGTAACATTGGTGTCCAAGTCTGTAAATTCAGACTGCGTTACGGCATTGAGGAAGCAGGACATGTAGAGAAACAGGTGGAGCTCAACATCCTCGCATGTTCAGACGTGCACACACAAAGAGGGCCCCGCCAATACTGCTTGCCGGTCCTGTCTCGCCATCTCCCTCGATGTAACGCCTCTGTTACGTCCTTCAATGGCGATACAGAGGTGGGATCACTTCGTCCCTCCATTACACCATGGCAGAATTGAACTATGAAAGGGCTATAGTGAAGATGAGACAGCACAGGGGCGTAGATATCATGCCTTGAACAGGCGGACTAAATAGGGCTTATAAATTCTAGCTGCTGTCACAGTGAGTGTAATTACATTAGGCTGTTTGAATGAATTCATGTAAGAGAAATACCAACAGTGGAAACTTTTGTCTATCATTGTTTCAGAGAGGAACGAGCACCAATTAAGATCTAGCACTCAGTACTCATCCTTAGTGAGGCCTGAGAGAAAAAGTTCTCCGTTTTTTATTCTCAGAAATTAAAGAGATCAAACACAGTGAAACTGATTTATTTTTGTGTGCAGGCATTAAACATAACATGCATTAAACATAACATGCATTAAACATAACATGCGTTAACAAAGATATATAAAACTTCCTGTCTACATGGTTGATTTCACAGGGCATTTCTTTTTAGCCTGAGTGCAAGGATTGGAAAAAAAATTGTACTTGATTCTTTAATGTTGTACTCATTTTAAGAAGTTTCTGGAGTTGAATTTTGTAATGTTTCCCCTGTCACCAAATTTTCTGGAGTTAAAATCTGCACAGACGAACTTCAACCCGTAAGGGAGCTTTATCTTTTAGGGGACAGTAAGGAATCTTCAGCCACATTAGGCTATGTTTGAATGGATTCATGTCAGAGAAATACAGTGGCACCTTTTGCCTATCATTATTTCATTTGATAGGAAAGGAACCAGCACCATTAAAGACCTTGTCCTCTGGACTTTTTTTGAAAGAGAGCATGCAACAAAACACACAGTTAAAAAAAAAAATCATATTCCATTGTTTTATGTTGTTTTGTTTCAGAGTCACAGAACTCAGAGGACACATGAAGATAAAGAAAGATCTGCTCTGACCTGACATGCTCACCGTGTATGCAATGCAGCTGTAAATTCAGGTTATGGACTGATGATGACATCATCCTACTCTCTGGTGGTGTTTGGCAAAGATGGGCTCCCTTCTTATATACCTGCTCTGCTCAGAGCTTCAACACTGATGCTTGTGGTAACAAAAAAACAGTTAAAGGATGAATAAATGAGTCAGTATGAGCCCAGCTAAAACAGCTGTGTGTTCCTCCTGCTTCATCACTGACATCTGGTGTCTGTTAAACCAACTGCAGCTTGAAAAATGATGTGGTTCCCTTTAATTTGTCATTTTCCTTCAAGGAAGGAAATCCTTCAAGGTTCTGTTTTTTGGTTAAAAAAATAAGTTAACATTTACAAATTAACTTCTTTAACTTATTCTGTAAATATGTTTTATAATACAAAGAATAATATAGATTAGTCTTTTTCTGAATCCTTTGTATATTTCTTACGCCTTGGATTACTATTCATACACCTGATGAATGATGCAGAGACAGGGGTGCCTACATATTTACAGTCTAAACTACATACATACATTTCTCTCCACAAAAGAATATATACTGAAGCACAAACGTCAAGTTGTCTGTTACTTCTTTTATTGTGTTTTAAACTAAATAAAATATTTGTTGTATCTCTGGAGGAGGTTACAGGTCATTAAGTCATAACTTAGCTTGTTTAAATCACTTGGACACTCTCAGTCAACGTGGCATGTGTCGACCTGTCCCCTCCACGGGGGGCGCTGTGTCGCACAGCGCAGAGGATTGTGGGTCGGAGGAGGCAGCAGAGAAGCGTCATTATCACTACTACGGGACTGACGGCGGAATCCTTCCTGAGCTGCAAGCCTTTTCTCCGCACTGAAGTGCCTTAAAAAGTGGAGGGAGCGATGGCACACGGAGACCTGATGAGCCAAGCGGAGGACGTAGCGGACCAGGTGAGCTCCTCAGCCGGCCACAGTCAGGGCTGACACCCCGGCAGACAGCTCTCGTCCGGATATTTTCCGCGCCCTCCGAATTCCAGGATTATATCTTAAGTTTTATAAAGCTTAGTTCAACGCACTTCTCATTAAGCATCAATGTATGCCATTATATTCGCCATGCACAATATATAACCAAGCTTTGTTGTAGTCCAGATGAACTTTCAGCAGCATTTAGGTGGAGGCAGACTTTGGGTGTTGCTTCTAAGTCTGTCAAAGTGAAGTCTTGTGCGCCAACATCTGTATCATGGAGAAGCAGATGAGGAACATAGCCTAAGGGTGAAATCAGATTTGTGAATAGTAAAATAATTCACTGCCGAAAGGAGGACTAAATCCTTATTTTGTACCTCGGATCTTCTGTTATTTGTTAGCTGTGAATGTATGTCTGAAGTGAGATACATCTTTAAATTGACAGATTTTCTAAACGGAGTCCGGTGTGTGTAATATAAAAAAATAACAATAAGTCAACGATTCCAGATGTTGCTTGCTGTTATAATGATGATTTATATACGTGACTTGTTAATAAAAACGTGCACTGTGACTTTAAAACTTGAACCCCTTTCCTAGTGTTGCAACAGGAAGGTTTAGTAACGATGATGCACTCTTGGAAACTGCGGAAATGAGACGCGATGTGAAACTCTGCTGTTCAATTAATCTGCTGTAACATCGAGTACATCCTCGTTGAATTCACCTAGAGCTGCAGTAATCTTCAAACCACACTACATGTTTGTTTTTCGCTGGTTTCATTTGAGGAGCTTGACACAGATGCAGCTTGACGCCGCCGCCTGGCTGCCACATACACAGTCTGATGATGACGATGGTGAGGCTGGTATTCTCCCCAGCTCATTCAAAACTAAGGCAATGCGAGTCTGTGCCATATGATGAATATACTAAAAATGTGACAAATGCACTCACAACTACACAGAGCCACAAAGTGATGCTTTCATAGTGCTTGTTATGTCTAACAAAAAGTCAGAAGTTGTTCAAAGCAAGCATTACTGTGAAAGATGATCTCCATGTCAATCACAAAATGTGATAATCAATACACATTGATACACATTTCACCCTTAGGCTATGTTCCTCATCTGCTTCTCCATGATACAGATGTTGGCGCACAAGACTTCACTCTGTCTTTTTTTTTTTTTTTTTTATTTTTACTGTTTGGTCATTCAGTTTAATACAATCACGTAAAACTCAGTCAGTCAGGACATTTGGTCTTTTTTTTTTCCGTATTCCATGTTTTCACATTTCCAGACCATGTACTGTAAATATTAATGGACCTATATTAAGTGACGTCACCCATTGGCTACTAAATGGGGATTTGGGCGACCATCGATGGTGGTCGCCATGCTGGAAATGCTGTCTCACCTTAACTTTCAGTCAACCTAAGTAAGAGCAAGCTGGAGCTGTAGGGCGTGTTTTAAGCCTGTTGACAAACCGTTACATCGCACCCACCCGTCATTCAGGTAACTTAAGCGCCTTATTGTGAATAACGTTTATCCTTCACCGCCCCCTTCTCCATACAGTGTGTGCTAATCAAGACATGAGCTAATCAGACCTATTTGTTTTTTTAAACCAGGCTGTAAACATGTTAATATCTGCTGTAAAATCTCACTTTTTGAATTGGTTTGTATGTGACCTCCAGTGGTTCTGCAGCCAGCCTCAAGTGGACACTCAGCTAAGTGCACGATTTCACACTTCAGCAGCGGCTTCATTTTTCAACACCGCTTGTTCCAAAACCTAAACACCATGAATGACTTAAATAGTGTCAGTAACTTTCTTTTTAATTTCAAACTGACTCAATGAATCAAATCAAAGTATATTTTGCAAAGTCTTTCACATAAACCAGATGGTCGCGTGATTTTATGCTAACAGACCGACACTAGCAGGTCCCAAGTCATGTCAGTTACAGACTGAGGCTAAAATTAACTCGCCTTTACCTGTGCTAAAATGCTGACAGCTCCCTGTTCAGACTGAGCAGAACGCGAGCTTATTGTTGGTCATTATTTCATGCTAACGGTCTAAGGCAGCTTCTCAACTGGTGGGTCGGGTGCCAGAAGTGGGTCGCGAAGCTGTTTCAGTGGGTCGCCGTGGTGTGCCTGCATTTCTTTTTGTGTCAAAAGTATATGAAACGCTTTTTGAAACATGTTTGTTTTGTTTTGTTTCTTTGTTCTGTCACACAATTTTGTAGCCCCTGAGGTCCAAACTGCACATGTTTTCATGAAATTAAATCTGATCGGTTGAAAAATATCCCAAATTCCAGTCACAATTTTTCATGTAGTTGATGGTGAACCACTGGTCTAAGGTTAATGCTGACCTCTCCCAGGTAGTGCCACAAAGCTAAATCTACGCCAACAGTTCTCAGTTCATGATGTTACACTTTTAGACTGTGGCTAAAGCTAACATATCACAGTTCATGATATAATGCCAAGGTTAAACCAAGGCACGGCGCCCTGGAAAGGTTCCAGGTTTTAATGGCATTATGCTTACAAATTGATGCGAAAGCTAATTTGTCATAGATTATGTCAAAGTGCTTAGGTTACTTTAACAGGTCAGAGGAAGATGGCTAAAGCCAAATAGTCCCAAGTCATTGTATCATGGTAAAGTGTGAGGCTACAGCAAACAGGTCATGTCAGCTCTAGGATTACAGGCCCTGGGATATTATATCAGGCAAGCAGACTGACACGGGAGCTGGCTGGTGGAAAGAGTTCCCAGGAAAGATATCATGCTAGCAAATCCTGTGTATTGATTGGTTGAATTTCATCACTGCAGAGCTTACAGATAAAACCTAACGTACAGAAATGCCATTTCTTAAAACGCAAAGCTTAAGGAGGCTCAAACACTCTTGCTAAATTGTCCCTGTTTCATTGCAGTTCCTACGGGTCACCAAACACTACTTACCCCATGTGGCCCGGCTCTGCTTGGTCAGCACCTTCCTGGAGGACGGGGTGCGGATGTGGTTCCAGTGGGGGGAGCAGAGCGAGTACATTGATTCCACCTGGAACTGTGGAAGCTTCCTTGCCAACTTCTTCGTCCTGCTCAACCTGCTGGTACAACTTGGTAATAAATACATGTACTCGCACACACACAGATTTGTTTTTTTTCTGTACTTGTGAGGACCCTAACTGTCTAAATATATTTTTTTTCTGCAGGTGGCTGTCTGTTGGTCCTCAGTAGAAACTTTGTTCAGTATGCCTGCTTCTCTCTGTTTGGGATTATCGCTCTGCAGGTGAACACACACAAACGGTTTATACACTACAATTAAGAACTTCACTTTAATTAAATTGTATGATTATTTATCTTGTATTGTGCACTGACAAAAAGAGTCAGATTGTGCAGAAGTCTATGAAAAAATGAAGGATAGATTCATAGCAATGCATAGCCACCTGTTGTACAAATTCTTTCACTTCTGGTTAAACAAAAAGGTGACGACAAAAATACTGAAGATCCAGGCTTGTAAAAATTAGTAACCCTGACATGCCAGTAACTACAGTATGTCCTCTTATCATGAACAGTCTATGGTATGAAGACTAATAAAAGCTTTTATTATTTTCAAATGTGCTGATGTGGGACAATATTGTCTCTGGTAACACATTTGAAAACCAGATATGACAACCTAGTCAGATAAATAGAACAAAAAAGAGTAAATTTATTTCAACTCTGTCAGCTCTTATACATACACTTTTTTCCTGTTACTAGTACTAGTACTAGTTAGTAGTGTTATACTGTGATTTATTTCTCCTGTACTGCCTGGAAACACAGAATACCGTATGTGTGCTCTTGAACTTGTATATCTCTCTGCAGACGGTGGCTTACAGCATCCTGTGGGACCCAAAGTTCCTTATGAGGTTAGTCTCTGACTTCTCTCTGACTTTTGATCATGTCCACTCTGCACACTTCAGAAGAATATAGATCTCTAGATGTGCTATCTGTTTGTTCTTTAAGTTTTATTTTCAGCAGGATCTCATTCTGATGTCTGGAGTTTTAAAATCTCTCCTGAAATGTGACTCATAAGTTCAGTCACTGTCTTGTCAAAGAAAACATTTATGTTTCTATCCAGATAAAGGCTGATCATCAGCAGCAAATATTTATGCAGGTTTTTTGGAATTTCACGACTCTTTATCTTTAAATTTCACTTTCTAAACTGTGTATTGTACATGAGCTGGATAAATCTGTTGGATACAAAAATATACCGAAAGAAGATCCTTCTTATGCATTTTAAGAGACCTCTTCCTCCTCTTCCTCTCTTCAGGAACCTCGCGTTGAACGGAGGCCTACTCCTCCTCCTGGCAGAGTGCCGGGGGGAGGCTCGCAGCGTGTTTGCAGGAGTTCCTTCTCTCGGTCAGCAGAGTTCTCCAAAGAATCTCCTGCAGCTTGGAGGTCGAGTTCTCCTCGTCCTCATGTTCATGACGCTGCTGCACTTTGACCTCAGCCTGATCAGTGTGAGTGTGACACATCCAAACACACATAAATTAATATAGACATATACTCAGTTCATAGAGTCTGGATAAGGACTGTTATTTTAGCAGGATTGAGCATGAGAAGGATATCATGAAATCTAATAATAGGCTGTCGTCTAGCAGCAGAGTTAAAAAATTCAGAGCATCCTTGAACACACCACTTTTTGTCAGAACTCAGATCCTGAACTGTTCTGTTCCAGCCGTGTGTGAGTCCTCATTCCGTCTTGTGCTGCTCTTGTGTCCAGGTCCTGCAGAACCTGGTGGGCACGGCGCTCATCGTGCTTGTGGCGGTGGGCTTTAAGACGAAGCTGGCGGCTCTGACTCTGTCCATCTGGCTGCTCTGCATCAACTTCACCTTTAACACTTTCTGGAGCATTCCTTCATACAAACCCAGTCACGATTTCCTCAAATACGACTTCTTCCAGACCACGTCGGTGATCGGAGGCTTGCTTCTGGTGGTGGCAATGGGACCTGGGGGGGTCAGCATGGATGAGAAGAAGAAGGAGTGGTGAGGAAGATCTGTGGGGGGGGGGGGTGTGTTGAAGCTGATTCTCAATGGACAAAAAAGAACTGATGCTTAAAAAGGAGAGGAAGAGGGATAAGAAAAGATGGATAATATATTTAATTTGACAGAAAGAAATACTTAAACTTTCAAATCAAACAAAATTATGTTTAGAAATGTATCTTTAAAGATAATGAAGAATTATTAGGTTTAAATCCACTAGTAGAGCGTCCTTATACAGGACTCAAAGACACTTGGTTGTGTAGCTTTTAATTGGAACGTGGATATTTGAACTGTTACGACGACTACATCTTCCACAAAATTGTTGTCAAAACATTATCAGAAAAGAGAATAAATAGATCACAGAGAAAGCAGAGTCTTCGCCTTTAAGATCAGTGACTTTGTGGTTTGTTATGTGAAGTGAGTCTCGTGTGAGGATTTACAGCAGACGAAGTGAAGCATATGTTTTCAGTGAGTTGGTAAGTTACAGCAGTTTGTAGAAAGTGTCCTGAGAAACTCAGGTTCCAGTTCAGCGTTTGTGATAAGGGTCTTGTGTTGTGTTCACTACACTGAGTGCATAAAAACACGTTTTGTGTAGGGGATAAGCAGACACTCTTTTTTTATAGCAGGAACAAACCCAAACAGGACGAGGTATAGTTGCCTTATCGATTTAGAAATTTTCTTTCACCGAAATAGTCTGTTAGATTCTACAGTTGGAATAGCAGCAGAAAACTCTGCAGCCTTTTTTTTTAGATGAGTCTACTGTGCTGTTATCATTTACATGGATTTACCAGATTTTATTGCTGCTGATTGTTGTAATGGATAAAGTCCTCAAGAGACTGTGATCAGAACTGTTTCTGTAGTGACTGTCACTCACTGAAGACCATAAAATGCTGTAATTGATCCAACTCGACCACTCTTTACTAGTTTGTTAGTAAGCTATAGCAGCTACAAGCCAGGTAGAGACAACACATCAGCCGTAAATAACCAGGGCCCAGAAGTTCATAGTACTTTTCAAGGGGCTCCAATCTGGAAATGCTGCAGTTTTAAGTATCACTCAAGGTTTTGTTCATTGAACTGGCCTGTTTTTGCTCTACAAATCCAAGCTCATCTAGAAATTACACATACCTCTATTTATCTCAATTCTTCCTTCCTGCTTCTTCTCGGGCCTCATAGCCACCACCAGAGACTCTGAGAGTCACATGATGTGTGTGTGTTGTATAAATGCTGCTGTCCTCATATTTGTACTGCCAGGTGAGATTTTAACACATAGAATACCTGTTTCTGTTTGTTTTTTAATCAGCTGCCTTCCTCACCTCTGATGTTTCAGATGGAAAATCATTTTTTTTTTTTACATTCTGTAATGCCTGGAACTTCAAGCAGATGGAGCTGTTCAGCTACAGCACACACTGCGACACATTTATACTGTTTTACTTTCATAAAGATCTTTGTCTCTCAGTGTGAAACTCACAAAAGAGGCACACACTCCGCTGGGCTATGCGTGTGTGTGTGTGTGTGTGTGTGTGTGTGTGTGTGTGTGTGTGTGTGTGTTTGTGACTCTTTTGTCTCTGAGTATCGATAAAGTTGTGAGAAAGTGAAATAATTTTCTATCATGTGTTTTTATAGAAGATGTAAAATAAATCAGTCCAGCATTGTGATGCTTTTTTTGTTTCTGTTTTTGTTCACTGTCAATACGGAAGTGTCTATATTAAGGCTACAGTCCATTTTGAAATACATGTTTTCGTGTGCGTGTGTGCGTGTGTGCGTGTGTGTGTGTGTGTGTGTGTGTGTGTGTGCGTGTAAGCAAGAAATAATCACTACTCATTAGATTGTAATGGAACTTTTAGGTCAGTGAACAATCTGAATACCACTATAACCCCCCCTTTGACTCTCAAACTTAAAAAAACATTTTCCTCAGGACAGTCGTCATTATTAGACTCTGGACAAATATGACTATAATGGGACTGTTAAAGTTTTATATTAATGGCTCCATATAGGGAAGGCATGGATGAGAGCTCAGAGAGAGCAGCAGAGGAGCTATTACTCTTAAGGGATGGACTGATACAAAACAGGTACCGGTTATGTCTTCAGAAGAAACCATCACAGTGAATTACAGTATGCAAAACAAAAATGTTTCATACAAGAGGAGATGCTTATTAGCCACATTTTAATCTTTTGTTTTCTTCCTCTTTAGTTATTTTTGTTGACCAATACCCTTGCTCTGAGGAGTACAAGTGTCTTCATTACACATCACAGGAAAACGAGATCAGAACATGTGGCAGAGACAGACTTCAGCTTGTCTAAAAGTGCCAAAGAAGAAGAAATCATGTAGTTTGGTTAGTGTTAGCCTCGACCCTCAGAAAGATTACAGCTGGTGCTATTCTGCAGGACACTCATACACGTACAGAGACTACAATAACACCCACGCAGTGACCCATGCGTCTGTCCAGGTCCTCTAATAACCTGCAGACTGCAGCCAAGGGCAGCACCTGAACACCACACACACACACATACACACGCTCAGACACAAACTATAAAAACATACAAAGTCCAGTTATGACTTATTGATTTCTCCAAAAGCATCAGCTGTAACTGTCAGACTGCATAGTTCAGTGCGCAATGTGAAGGTCTTGCTTCTGTACGACCGCTGCCTCTTCCTCCTCCTCCTTCAATGCTGCTCCACACTAGATGATATATAAACTGATTTACATTAATCCAAACAAAATTGCCATTATTCACTAATTTACCATCATAAGAGCAGAAGATGTGGCAGAGATCACACAGTCCTCAATCCAGCGATGTGCATTCACACATGGAGACAAACAAGGAAGATGTGGAGCATGAAGAAGAGGACTGTCTGACTATCTGGAGCTGCATTATTACTCAAAATGAAAAACAAATATATAGCAATTTACCATGACATTTGGAACATCTCAAATATCATACATGGAGCTAGAAAAGTGAAATTCTGCCAAGTCCAAGCAGCATGCATCAAACTTAATAAGCCATCAGATTATCAAAAGTAACACATCAATAAAATGTAAAACCCATGCGATTAATGATAACCATAGAAATAAATCAGTGAACCAAACAAAATGAACGGCAAATAAGTTATTAAGGTGAATGTTCTTCAGGTTCCTCACTTGATGGCGCTAATGTTGTGTCTGTTCATCAGAATGACAAACTCCCACTGACTGAGCTGAGTCTGAGATCTGCACCAGACACTGAGTTTGAAGGACACCAGGAAACATAAAAACATGTTGCCATTTATAAAACATTTCCCTGAAAGAATACGACATTTGCATGGATATATTAGTATTTCACATTATTACCTAATAATAAGAGGAAATGTATTATGATGTATGTTTTTATTATAAGATTAGAAAATTAGAAAACTTTATTAATCCCCAGCGGGGAAACTCATTTGACACCTGGTCAATTCATAGACACAACAAACAATATGGACAGTACAATCACATTACTGAACAAGTAAATAAATCACAAACACCATTGAAACCATGTGAGACATAATTAACAGCCTTCAATCAGAGCCACAACTAAAAATGTTACTAAGTGCTTTTAAGCATTTTGATTTATGTCTTCTCTTCTCTCTGAGGTATCTTTGTGAGGTCTGTATGATTTCTAAAAAGTAACAGCACTTAAAAAAAGAAGAAGAATGTAACTAACAGCACTTGCGATTCCACTCTTACATTTCTGTTTGGACGAAAAATATTTCAACTAACAGATGAGGATGGAAAATTGAAGTATTAAAGTATAAAACTCTATAAATTGAATATGTTATTCTTTCATTAAAATCTAAATATTTTAGATTATTGAAGCATTTCATCTTAAAACGCTCTGTAAATAAACTATTATTATTATTATTATTATTATTAGTATAATCATTATTATTGTTATTATAATTATTGTAACCAAATTACCAAATGTGGGATTTAAAATGTTAACATTAGCTAGTATGCTACATGGTGATGAATAAATAACTTTTCTGTGTGTGTGTGTGTGTGTGTGTGTGTGTGTGTGTGTGTGTGTGTGTGTGTGTGTGTGTGTGTGCGTGTGCGTGTGCGTGTGCGTGTGCGTGTGTGTGAGTATTGAGTTGTGTTTTGTTTAATTCGGGATGGGAAACACTGAGAATTGTAATGACATCTTCTAGGAGAGAAGTCTCAGTGCATTTATGATTTCTTCTGTTTTGATTAATTGACAGAAAGATGCTGAGATGATTAATTTAAAAACATCTTCAACTTAAAGTGAAAACATCTCTAACCCCATTCAAAATTAAAGACAAACAAAGAGTAAGGCTGTGCATGTTCAGGGACACACCTGTGTGTGTGTGTGAGTGTTTTATAAGCACTATCCGAGGTGAAATGTTAAAAGCATCAGAGTTTTCAGGATTTAGCCTGAGCTGTTTGCTCTGTGTTTGAATAGATACTTTGATTTCCAAGAAGACTTTGTGATTTTTTACAACTATAAAAAAAAAGTCCATCAGTAAATGCTGTTCAGAGATGAGCGTGTGATATTACTATGCTTGATGCTGCATTGATAAGGTTTCAAGCAGACAGAGAACATGCTGAACAGCACGAGGAGAGCAACAAACAGTTTGCCAGGATGGTGGGAAACAAAAGCAAAGAGCCGTTGTGTGACAATATATATGTTATGATGACGTGTCAAGTATTTGATTAAATAAACTCCATCTAAGATTTTTATATCTAGATAATATTTCATGTAATTATGTAAGGGATTGTAACCAAAAGTAGCCAATCATTTTAATGCAACGACAAAGTAAGGATACTCCCAAGTGTGGTCCCTTTTTTACACTTTTCCAGCATATCTCTCCTTTTGCATTGGCCTGAGTAATCTGGAGTGTTTTCTAATCAGACATTCTTAAACACATTGCAAAAATGTACATTATAAAACTCTTAAGTGTAGACATTTAGCACACTGTTATATGATCTAAAATACACAACCTGATGACCCTTTTTTCATTTTCTACAATTATTTTCTTTATATGTGTAGTTGTATAATCAGTAGGCCTATCTGCTGAAGTAGGAGTTCAGACTGTCATGTTTTTGTACTGAGAGATAATCAAGATGCTCCATTAAGAGTCTAAACTCTCTCTGATGCTTTTATTGATCTGTGATTGATTCATCATTCTGCTGCTCCGATGAAATCACGCACTCCGTGCCTCCACTCATCCAGTGAAATTATATTGAAGGAATGGTAGAGACTGGAGACCAAATGAGGCACAATTTGAGCCGCGAGTCATGTAACCTCCATGTTTCTTGTAAAAGAGTCGCATTTTCTAAGTGTTAAAAATGTAATCTTTAAAAAAAAAATGCAAATGTAGTGGTGACACTTTCTTCATCTTAAACATACTTACATTATTTTACAGAAGTAGGGTTTACTTGTATCATGTTGTATTGTCTGTTATTTATACTTTTATTACAGTAAATAATCTGAATACTTCCTGCTGGTTTTCTGTAGACCTGAATCAGTTTTTTAAAAGGGCAAAGAGAATCTTAGTCTGTCGTTTATTTCATTCACTCCCTTTATCCCTCTCTCCTCCTCCTTGTTGACTCCTCTTGACCTCCTCCTCCTCCTCCTCTCTTAGAGAGAGAAAAAGGAGGAATGTGGAGAGGGTGAAGGACAGGAAAAAGCTGAATGTGAGTGACAACGACATGAACAGGTCACACTCCATCAGTGTGTGCTAACAGAAAAAGAGAGATGACATAAGAGGATAAAGAAGCAGGGGAGAGGGGCTGCTGGAACAAAAGAAAACAACTTTGGTCATCATGCTCATTAAGACAAGGGACATGTACTCTAAAAGTAACTACATTTGGTGATGGTTATGTCATTGATCTGTAAGTATCCTAGATATAACTTATACATAAGATAATATTTCCATGGTGGCCAGGTTGCTTTGAAATCACGTGCAGTGTGGAGAGCTCAAATGTTATCGTAAATCGTGATGATGTATGGTGATCATGTCTTTCTGTTATTTTCCAGGCTCAAGTCATGTAAACATCTCAATACTCAGCAACTGTTTGATGGTCAGCAACAAACCAACATTTTTCAGTGACTGTAAACGTTAAAGGACAAAGCATGAGTGACATCAGCTATCTGTTACTGAAGGGGGCTTTGAAATGCTGTCTCAACCTATCTTTAAGTCAACCCAACTTTCAGTCGTTATAACGACAGGCAGTCAGTCTTAAGCCTCTTAAAAAAAAATCATAACCACCAATCAGGTCAGACACATGCCTTACTATGCATAACTCGTATCCTTTATAAAATTAAAACATGAGATATAAAAGAACCCCCCCCCCCGTACAGTGTGTGCTGACAAAGAATAACTAATCAGACAAGAATCTTTTTTTGTACCAGGCTGTAAACATGTGAATCATGCTGTCAAAACCAAACATTTTAATATACGATATGTGTGTGACTTCCAGGTCTATTTTAAGTCTCAACTTGAGGAACTGCATTTATTAATTTCATTTCAACATTTTCAAAATATAACAGGAAATGACATAAGAAACAAAAAACATGACCTAGAGGCATAAGTATCTAATTGTAATTTATAATTGTAATTTAATGAATTTATTAAGCCCAGTTGCTGAAGGGGCTGCATTCATTATTTTTGAAT